TTAGCTGTATTATTGCTAAACATGCCGTTTTTGAGAATTTGATTTTCAACTAGGTTGAGGCATCCAACCACGCCATCAATCCCAGTAAAAACATTAGGTCACGTCAGCTAGTTTCCTATCCATTTATTTTATTATCCATGGTTCATGTATACTATTTGAAACACGAGCAGGAGTGCTTATCAGATATAAAACACGAGGCGACAGCCGAGTGTCTTATATCTGTTAAAGCACGGACTGCGAGTGTTTTAAATGGCTTAAAAACCACACCCATCTTATGAGTTCATTGGCGAAGTAATTTTAAAAATCAACGTTGTTTAAGCCGAGAAAATCAAAGTTAAAGTTTGTGTAAATTAACATGATATTTTATCACATGTAAAACCACCGACACGGTAGTTATTTCCTTTGTCTTTTCCTCATGAATTATTAAAAAAGATATATGTTATGGTGAACTTGCCACAGTGACTTCAATATGTGGCAATTTAGAGAAATAGAATAACTGTGTTAGAGGCACATATCATGCGTAAGAACATGGCTCATTCTCACCGAAAGGGTAAAGGGTACAGGTAAGTCAACAGACCCTGGGTACGAGGATGCAGGTAAGTTTGGGAACGAGACGCGTTTCTTCTCTTTTGTCGCTTCCTGAAATGGGACTACATTCAAAATTTTTGCCATTACGTTTCTCCACCGGCATGCAACTTGAAAAGCTGCATGTTAGTGTTTTATCTCTAGAATAAAACTAAAATGAAGAGATATTATAGATGGTACGCCAACTTAAGAAAACTGCGACAAGAGTTATTTCATTGAGGCAGGTGACACTGGTCAGGTGTAGATGCCACTTGGAATGAATTAATGACCCAAATTAACAAGCGTCTTGTGTATTTGGAAATTTGATGATAATGCATTAATTGATGTGTGGCAGGATATCTGTTTTTGCATATACAGTACTTTGCTAATAGATCTTGTGTGTTGTTCGCTGTGAGTTCGTCAATCTCAAATATTTATCTCTATACTTATATAATGAACTAATTACTTCATGGTAATTGGTCCATTTATGCGACCCTTCACAACTTCAATATACGCATGCACAGAACGTGCTATTACTGCATCTTTAACCGTGACCGATATTATACAGTAGCACCATAGATATAGGAGATCTAGATTGCTAACGCATACCTAGCGCAGGCGGGGCCTACATGATAAATCCAAGATGGCGGTACAACAGGGCAAAAAGACTATAGATTCTATTACGAAAATCAGTATTTTTGCATTTTTCGCCGTCGCATTGTTTCGGACCTTATTCGGTCAAATTTTATGGTGAAGAGAAACTTACCGCGAAGATTTTGAGCATATATATGAATAAATTGGATGAAAAATCGCAAAATTATCCGCGATAAAAGTTCGTGTGAAATGGTCAGTTGGTAAACTGGAGCGTTTTATTGCCAGAAATACTGTGCTATGTTAACATCTAGCATTGTGAATGGTGTTTTATACTTGCATCTCTCATCATCATCTGCTCTGTCCTCATAATTATGAAAAATGAACTGTTATGTACCCCCCCCCCCTTGCTTGTTAGAGAAGTAAACTGATGAGAGCACTGGATGAGGGTCTATCATCTATGGTCTGTTATAATTTGCTTTTTATGCAAATAGTGAGCAAAAATTAAAGCAAAACTGTACAAGTTACATATATAGTACTATATCAGTACTATACACGAACTTTTATCGCTGGATAATTTTGCAAGTTTTCATCCAATTCAATCATATATATGCTCAAAATCTTCGCGGTAAGTTTCTCTTTACCATAAAATTTGACCGAATAAGTTTCAAAACAATGCGACGGCAAAAAATGCAAAAATCCTGATTTTCGTAATAGAATTTATAGTCTTTTTGCCCTGTTGTACCGCCATCTTGGATTTATCATGTAGGCCCCGCCTGCGCTAGGTATGCGTTAGCAATCTAGATCTCCTATATCTATGAGTAGCACCCCGCTAACTCGAACTCCCCTCGAACTAAATCCAATTTCCCCTGGATTTGACCCAATTTTTACAGTAATTTAATCCGGTTAACTCGAAATCGCTTAACTCGAACTCCTCGCTGACTCGAAGTACAAATTTTATTTCTCTTGGTCAAATTTACCCCGGTTAACGTTAAACTGTATTTTTGAGACGTGGATCGGCAAATCTCAAATTTATGTCCGAACATCATACTTGTACATTGACAAGTAGGAAGCTTTGTATTCAGACAACAACAATTTACAGCGCCGTTCCTAGCGCGATAATTGGGGGGTGTATTTAACAAATATAAAACATTTTCCGTGTTGATATACAGTTATATCAACACGAGTGGAATTGGGAAAACAAGAAATTGTATGGAAACACGACGACCGAAGGGCGAAGTGTTTTCATACAATTTCGAGTTTTCCCAACTTCCACGAGTGTTGATATAACTATATATCAATACGGAAAAAATGTTTTATATTTTTTTTATAATATAGCAATGTCAAAAGGCCGAAGAATAAGAAAAATTTCCTTGTTTACAAGCGGTGGAAAATTCCCCGTGTTGACATGGAGTTATATCAACACGGCTCTTAGCCAATCAGCGTTCAGAATTTACAAATGGTATATTATAAATTCATATATTCGTGTTCTGCCCGACGGATTTCTTTTGAAAGCGATTGTTTTTACGGTATGTGAATATATGAATATACCTCCCCCCCCCCCAATTATCGCGTCTAGGAACGGCCCTGACAATTTAATCGGTATTTAATATATACAACTTAATCTAAATTATGATAATAAAAAACATTTAATATTTCTGTGATTTCCGAAGTGAAGCGCGACTGCCACAAACCGAAGTAAACAAATTACATGAACGTATTAGAACACAGTCGGGCGGTAATGAGAGACAAGACAGGACAAGGAATTTACTTATGCGGCCTAAATATAGCATCTGGGTGGAGGGTATTACAAAATTCTACCATAAAATATGGCACCCCCAAAAGCGTCGGAAAATATTTGATACCCCCCTCAAAGGAGATGAAATGTTTCGTTCCTCCCCGCACCCAACCAATCCCCTCTCCCCAAAAACATAAAATTCTAAGAACATAACTGTTTTGCAAATTATTGCAATCCATGGCATTGTCTGTATTAAAATATTTAGAGTAGTTAATAAATAGAGAGTGTTGAACATGATATCTCACGGGTGAGCGCAGTGAACAAGTGAGATATCATGTTCACCACAAGAAATAAATCTGGTATTTCCAAGCACCCATGTATTTTTCTGTTTATTATATAAAGGACAGTCTTTGAAAAGCGATAATTTTACAGAAAAGCGATAATTTTCACATGCATGATTGTGAGATTATCATAAATAATCTCCCATGTGAGATTACACTTTTATCAGTGCTCGCCATCTCTATAAAGCACTATACTTTATATCATAATACTATTTATATGCCCTTGGTGAAAATCTGGGTCAGATCTAGAAAAAAAGGAAAAACATTACTCAAAATCTTAATACCAATTTTTATGCAAAAACGGTCAAAACACGGTATATACCAATTCATTAATTAAAAAATTGTGAAACAAAAAAATTACTCACGAAATTATTTGCTCTCCAGTTAGTTGCAAATTTCTCCTGCAACATTTTGATTGGATACTAAATATAAACTTTGCTGTGGGTGGAAACCGATCTGATTAAGGTTTGTGTCAGGCTATATTTCTAAAATAGAGCCTGATCTCACATTTTGGGTAGACTTTGGTTAGGGGCCATTCACAAAGGATGTCCGGCCAAATAATGGATTTTCAGACCCCCCTCCCCCCTTGTCCGGCATTGTCCGAATTAGTGTCCCCAACTTACCCTCCTGTAGCACACATACTTTATGACCGGTCCCTAAAGCCTGGATGAAGTCTAAAGAGTAAGAACGTATATCATCCATCTCGTATATCTTTCTAACAAAATAAATATACACATTGAAATGAATTTATTTATTATCTAAATACATACTTTTTAGTCGTCATTTCTTAAAATATACACTTAATTATAGCCAATTAAATAAATATAAATATCTCTTAGAATAAATATTGTAATTTGATTTATTATAATTATACATTGTGGTCACTATGTGTCCTCTGATTGGCCAATAGCTTACAGTTAAATATGGAACACGCAACCTACACATGTGCTGTTATCTGCATGCTAGCAGACAGCTGAGTTATGTGTAGGTTGAGCCTGTGGTATGTAAAGTTATAGAGAGCAGCAGTTTTAAATACAGGTTATAAATTCATGTCTCGCTGTTTATGAATGCTGAGCCCTATCCTTACCCTGACTCTAACCCTAACGGCTGACAACTCGTGAAGAGCGAGGCATGAATATATACCCCGAATAAAAACAAGAAAAAAACAAGATGAATGAACGGCGTTTTCGTGAATTGTTTGTGTTTATTACATTTCTATCGGAACTCCAGTGGGAAGATGCATCAGATCTCTAATATTTTTATGCTGTTATTGTGATATTCTAAATCGTTTTCACTGCATGCTTTTCACTACAATTGAGAAAATTCGTCCTACCAATGGTCTAATGGCAATGAAAAGGCTGAGACCATAAATTTCACATGTGAAAAATATCGTCCGCCATGAGGATATGATTTTTTTCATTATTTATATCTACTGCATCCATACTTAGGCTATAATAGCTAATTCATGATTTTTGCAACGTTTTAATAATATTGTAAATTGCTGTGTAAGTTCCAGCGAGACATCCCAAGATGCCAAATACGAATATAGCGACATTTTTAGCATGTACTATCCATGAAAGATCGTTATAAAATGTTATTGAATGTATAACAACGGGGAAAACGAAGCCCAGTAATGACATCGTGAGCGCTCCAACCAATGAGATCACGTTGTGTAGTTGTGGAACTGCCGCTGCTAACCCACCTGGAAAAAATGAATTATAAATTTTGATTGAAATAAATTCACTTTCTCTAAATGTAAGGACGCATTCTTCTTTCAGAAGACTCGTATACATGCAGGGTGTACAAAAAAGATAATCTAACATTGACATAAAATCAGGTTTTTAGCTGTCATTTGACACCTTTATTAAATCATTGTCATAAAAAATGCCCAAATGGCAAATACGATTCGATTTAAGGTGGTCGGTTGAAATCGTATTCTTAGGATTTAGTTGGTCTTCCAATTTTCGAACATTTACCCAAATGCTTGTCCATTTAAACTTCCAGTTTTGTAAAATGTTTTAAGTACTCGATTGCGATGCGAAACTGTGATGCGAAATTTACCAAAACTTGATGCTTACACATGCGTTGCGCCATCTTTATTCAAGCGACTTAAATTTGAATCCGAAATGAGAATAATTCAATACTCAGACAATATCAGAGGTTTACAAGCGACTCCTAACGGTGGAAAAACGTGATTTTGACAGGCATTTTTAATTGTGCACCAGCTATACTATTCTGGTCCGGTTGTATAGTAGAAGCAAATGAAATTTCGATAAATTTCCTATATAAACTGTATTCCTTCAAAAGCAATGCATGTAAAATCTGTTATCGTGCGCCCAACAAATGCTTATAGGTCTACTTACATGTGAACAAGACCAGGAGTGCTCTGATTGCAGTATCTGTTATGAAATGTCGTTTTTCTGGGATTTGCTCGAATATCCATGGTTCGACAATTTTTAATGGCACATAGGCTTGAATGAAGTAAGAAAAAAACACGGAAACTGCCACGGCCAATTTTACTATTGAGAAGAACCTGAAAGAAATTAGAGAATTCAGTTTGATATTATTCAGAGTGTAGTTTCAGATTCGATCTCAAACTCATTAATAATGCATGCTTAAATTAGCCATTAACCATATTGCTTTATTTTACTGGATATCTGGTGAAGTATATTGACCCAGTCCTAGGACTGGATCAAAATTAATTCAGTGCTTCGACTCGGCTTCGCCTCAGACTTGATCAAATTGCACGGACTTGAAATCTAGTCCATTCCTCATGGTCGACTTGAAATATTACTTCAAAATACGATGAAAAAGTGGGGAGAGGTGCGCAATTGTCAGCAGACAGTGTTGTGTATAATATGAAGCTCTCTGTGACTGAATTAAATTGTCTCCCACTGAATTAAATTGTCAAGTATTCTGAAATCAATATTTGGCACTGCTAAAAGTTTAGCAAAACTATCAATATATATATATACATACGCTGTTCCAGGTAAATTTAAAGTAATGCTTCCTTCACAGTGATCTGTACACGTAAGATAGCCAAAAGTTCCCATAGAAATGTAGACTACCATCACTACAGTCATTCCATATTTTACAACATCTGGAAAACGTTTTGGTTCTCTCATTTCGTTTTCCAATGGAAGTACCTGAACAATAAATTGAACAATATAAGCAAGATACGGATGTGGAGAGCGGAAAGAAAAGGTCATTTTCTTGAGCCGTGAACATAGGCGTACGGGGCGGGGGGGGGCGGTAGCCCCCCCCCCCAGTTTTTTGGGCAGTCGGGCAATTTCCCATTTTTTGGGCAGTCGGGCAATATTCGATCAACAGTCGGGCAATTTTGGTTTGCAATTAAAAAAAATGGGACAAATTCTGTCAATTTTGTCTAAAATTAAGTAAATTTTTTGGCAAATTTTGTGATTTTTGGAAAATTTGTGTTATGCGGCCCCGTACGCCTATGGCCGTGAATTGCCCAAATTTATTCCCGCTGTGAAATGTCTAGTAATAAATATTACGGATTTTTGTGTCGTTAAACGTGATGTACAGCCTGATTGCCAGTAATTTTTGTCGGGAAACGAGAATTTATTTGAGGCCATAGAATAATAACTGGACGAGATTAAAGTTCGAAATAAATTTGAATATCAAAGTATAGTTTAATATTCAATCTGAAGGTAAAACGTGTAGTTCAAGATTCAACGTGAAGGTGAAGTGAAGATGGAAACGAAAATGAAAAGTGCGTAGGTGGAAGGAACGAGATATTGGCGTTTGAAGGTTCATTAATTTTATTTAGTTAAAATATTAAAAAGCTATTAAAAAATCGTGCTTTCGGACAGAGCGCCCATGAACAGGATTAACATGGATGAACCCTAAAAACGTAAAAGCCAAAGTGATGATTAGTATGAAGAAGTACAGATTCAAGGTTCAACATGACGATTCAAGATGAAAATTCAAGATGAAGATTCAAGATGAAGTTTCAAGATGATGATTCAAGATGAAGATTCAAGACGATGATTCAATATGAAGATTCAAGATGAAGATTCAAGATAAAAATTCAAGATGAAAATTCAAGATGAAGATTCAAGATGAAAATTCAAGATGAAAATTCAAGATGAAAATTCAAGATGAGGGTTCAAGATGATGATTCAAGATGATGATTCAAGATGAAGATTCAAGACGATGATTCAAGATGAAGATTCAAGATTTTCATCTTGAATCTTCATCTTGAATCATCGTCTTGAATCTTCATCTTGAATCATCATCTTGATGAAAATTGAAGATGAAGGTTCAAGATGAAGCTTCAAGATGATGATTCAAGATGAAAATTCAAGATGAAGATTCAAGATGAAGATTCAAGATGAAGATTCAAGAAGATGATTCAAGATGAAGATTCAAGATGATGATTCAAGATGATGATTCAAGATGATGATTTAAGATGAAGATTCAAGAAGATGATTCAAGATGAAGATTCAAGATGATGATTCAAGATGATGATTCAAGATGATGATTCAAGATGATGATTCAAGATGAAGATTCAAGAAGATGATTCAAGATGAAGATTCAAGATGATGATTCAAGATGAAGATTCAAGATGAAAATTCAAGATGAAGGTTCAAGACGAAGTTTCAAGATGAAGATTCAAGATGATGATTCAAGATGATCATTCAAGATGATGATTCAAGATGAAGGTTCAAGATGAAGATTCAAGATGAAAATTCAAGATGAAGATTCAAGATGATGATTCAAGATGAAAATTCAAGATGATGATTCAAGATGAAGATTCAAGATGATGATTCAAGATGAGGGTTCAAGATGATGATTCAAGATGAAAATTCAAGATGAAGATTCAAGATGAAGATTCAACATGAAGGTTCAACATGATGATTCAAGATGATGATTCAAGATGAAGATTCAAGATGAAGATTCAAGATGAAAATTCAAGAAGATGATTCAAGGTGAAGATTCAAGATGATGATTCAAGATGATGATTCAAGATGAAGATTCAAGATGAAGATTCAAGATGAAGATTCAAGATGAAGATTCAAGATGAAGATTCAAGATGAAGATTCAAGATGAAGATTCAAGATGATGATTCAAGATGATGATTCAAGATGATGATTCAAGATGATGATTCAAGATGATGATTCAAGATGAAGATTCAAGAAGATGATTCAAGATGAAGATTCAAGATGATGATTCAAGATGAAGATTCAAGATGAAAATTCAAGATGAAGGTTCAAGATGAAGTTTCAAGATGAAGATTCAAGATGATCATTCAAGATGATCATTCAAGATGATGATTCAAGATGATGATTCAAGATGAAGATTCAAGATGAAAATTCAAGATGAAGATTCAAGATGATGATTCAAGATGAAAATTCAAGATGATGATTCAAGATGAAGATTCAAGATGATGATTCAAGATGAGGGTTCAAGATGATGATTCAAGATGAAAATTCAAGATGAAGATTCAAGATGAAGATTCAACATGAAGGTTCAACATGAAGATTTAAGATGAAGATTCAAGATGAGGATTCAAGATGAAGATTCAAGATGATGATTCAAGATGATGATTCAAGATGAAGATTCAAGATGAAGATTCAAGATGAAGATTCAAGATGAAGATTCAAGATGAAGATTCAAGAAGATGATTCAAGATGAAGATTCAAGATGATGATTCAAGATGATGATTCAAGATGATGATTCAAGATGATGATTCAAGATGATGATTCAAGATGAAGATTCAAGAAGATGATTCAAGATGAAGATTTAAGATGATGATTCAAGATGAAGATTCAAGATGAAAATTCAAGATGAAGGTTCAAGATGAAGTTTCAAGATGAAGATTCAAGATGATGATTCAAGATGATCATTCAAGATGATGATTCAAGATGAAGATTCAAGATGAAGATTCAAGATGAAAATTCAAGATGAAGATTCAAGATGATGATTCAAGATGAAAATTCAAGATGATGATTCAAGATGAACATTCAAGATGATGATTCAAGATGAGGGTTCAAGATGATGATTCAAGATGAAAATTCAAGATGAAGATTCAAGATGAAGATTCAAGATGAAGATTCAAGATGAAGATTCAACATGAAGGTTCAACATGAAGATTCAAGATGAAGATTCAAGATGAAGATTCAAGATGAAGATTCAAGATGATGATTCAAGATGATGATTCAAGATGAAGATTCAAGATGGAGGTTCAAGATAAAGATTCAAGATGAAGATTCAAGATGAAGATTCAAGATGAAGATTCAAGATGAAGGTTCAAGATGAAGTTGAAGATTCAAGATGATGATTGAAGATGAAAATTCAAGATGAAGATTTAAGATGATGATTCAAGATGAAAATTCAAGATGAAGATTCAAGATAAAGGTTCAAGATGAAGATTCAAGATAAAGGTTCAAGACGAAGATTCAAGATGAAGATTCAAGAGGTGAACTGTTACTGCATTGAAGTATGCAAACTTAGACCAGCCATACTTACTATTGGTATTGCTTCAAATGCAAACACGGCTACGCCAAAGAAAAGAGGAAACATAGACCATCCTGCAAACTTTGGTAATCGACTTGGACTGCCGGTATTTGGGATTAAATAAAAAAATATCGATACAATTGCGAATGCCATTAGACAGTTTGCACATGTAGACAACCAAGCTAGCGATGAAAGGTTTCGTATCATGATAAATAAAATGAGCATCGGGCACAGAATCAGGATCCAGACTTTCACAGACAGATCCACAACGTGAAGTTGCTTCAGCACCTGTAATTAAAGCGACAACTAGATTGACAAGTTGATATATTTGGCTATAGTAATACTATTAGTACCTATCAAATTAAATGACAAATTCAAAAATACTATAAGGGTAAATAGGTCGTTATTCCGTTCATTTAATTAATTTAAGGATGGATTGCCTCTGATATTGCCGACAAATTTTCAAAACTTAAAATCTTCAAAACCATTTAATTATTTTTAACATTTTTGCTTACTTTAATTAAACAATCTTTTACATTTTAAACATATCTTGGTTTTGACATATGACAAAGAATGAAATTCCCCTAACGATCTCAAAATACATTGCAAAACCGCGCGGAAACTGGGAAATGGCAACATGTACATTGACTCGAATAAAACATTGAAACATTATATTGCGTGCACCCTGTCAGTTGAGATTGAAAAATGTTCTAAACGAGACATTTTTGAATCGCATAGCAGTATTTTGAAATGCTGTTTTATAAACGACCAACAATTTTTAAAACGTGCGCTACTAACACGCATTGTTTACATAAGTACCCTGGTTTAGATCGAATAAATCACACTGCATAAATAATGCATGACTGATTAGCCTGCTCGCAGTCCGAAATTTCCTTCTAAGGAAACCGGAAATATTTGCCGTTTCAAATTTTTGTGTGGGGCTGCTGAGCAGGCTAATGCATGATTTTATGTATGGTTATTTAAAAGTGTTTGGTTTCCTTCAACATAAGATTATGTGCTGATTAATTTAACGCAGCGCGTAAAACAGTAAAAGTCATGATATTTGCTGTGTTGGTGTAGTGTACTCAGGTGAATAAGATGCTTGCGATGTTACTCTGAGTATATATATATATATATATATCCGCACCGGGCAGGCTTGAAAAATATGCCTGGCCACGGTGGGATTCGAACCTACGACCTTTGGAATACTAGCCCAATGCTCTGCCAACTGAGCTACGCGGTCAGGTCGGTTACTCGAACCGACCTGACCGCGTAGCTCAGTTGGCCGAGCATTGCATTGGGCTAGTATTCCAAAGGTCGTAGGTTCGATTCCCACCATGGCCATGCCCAGGCATATTTTATTTTTCAAGCCTGCCCGGAACAGTGAAAGTCAGTTGAACCTTAGAACTGATAGTACGACTAATTTGTAATTTGACCATTTTTGTATTGTTATTCTCCTTTATGCTATTAGAAGCTATTTTAAATTCCCAGGAGCAGAAAATATTTTTAATTCCTGAAGGTCTCCTTTTTTAATACATGCACCCTGTCAATATTTTACACATGCGTGGGTTCAGCATAGTGCTCAGGCATTCAAATTATAACAATAAGGTGAATTTCTAAAGGTTTCCTATTTTTGAGACACACTGTATATTATTATTATTCTCTAAAGGAGGGTTTTACACAAAGAACTCTACAGGGTATCTCAAAAAAACCGCTACCCTTAGAAATTCACCATTGTTCTAATTTGAATGCCTGAACCTTGTTGAAGCCATGAATGCGTAAACATTTTCACAGGATGCATATATTAAAGATCTTCGGAATTAAAATATCTTTGAAAAGCGAAATTGTTTATCCTGGGAATTGAAAGTAGGTTCATACAAAAGTATAACTGCACGAAAATCGTTCAATTACATATTAGTGAATGTCAAGCAAATGGCTCAACTGAGCACAGAGCAAAGAGTATTTATTGTCTTATTGTCCATTCAAATTGTTCATGCACCCATGAGTTCAAGATAGCACTCAGGCATTCAAATTAGAACGATGGTGAATTTCCAAGGGTAGCGGTTTTTTTGAGACACCCTGTATAATAAGTATCAGGTTTACAAAGCCATGCGTTGTCCATTATACAGGGTGTATCAAAAAAAGCGCAACCTCGGAATTTCCCAAAAATCCACATTGTTTTAAAGACAAAAGATTTTAGGCGCCTGGGAATTTAAAATAGCACAACTGTCAAAATTACTGCACACGCGGGTGCATAAAGCAAAATTTATGCATTTATTTAATGCACAACAACAGTAATATGATCTATTAACAATCCGATTTCAATTCCCAGGGGCCTAAAATCTTTTATGCTTAAGAATTGCAAAGTGATTTCTTAGGAAATTCCGAGGTTGCGTTTTTTTTGATACACCCTGTATACAGCCTACTATATAATTGCATGGATAAAAATTTCATTTCAATAAAATAAAAAACCGTGCAATAACCTGCTCAATGTTTTTCGCTACAAAAAGAACATAAACAGTGCAGACGCCAACTTGAGTTATACAGAGCACGATGTTCACTGTGTATCTATAAAGGAACACAGGTTTTAATTAGTCGATACATTTATAGTTCCTTCTATACAAGGTGTCTAAGAACACTACACAGTTCTAAAATGTCCACTAAACTGAAAAATCCGCAAAATATTTGACAACCCTACACATGTTAGTATGGCTAGTTTGGTATCTTTTGGTATCTCTATACATAGACGCATACATGCATAGACTTTATTTTCTCACGCTGGCCCCAGCAAACTTTCGACTGATTTTCATGGGGGGACGTGAACATAAACTATTTACAAAATAGTTTAATAGGCATGTGCTTTTTTAAAAAAAAACATTACATTTTTGTAAGGATTGTGAAGGGTAGAATATGGGAGCTGGAATTTTCCTATTTTTATGGAGAAATGGGATTTACACCAGCAAACTTGCTGCTGGGATAGAATTTGGCACATCAGTGAGTCAGGTGTTTGGGATTCTGGAAATATTGTAGTGCTTACACACACACACACACCACCACCAATCATGACGCCCATGCAAGTGCTGGATCTTCATCCCTGATCCTTATACCTTCCTTTCCTTGCGTGTGAAGGAGTTACGATGCGAAAACACTCTTCTGCTGTTTCGCCATAATCTAGTGATGATCGTTTACTCCTGCAAAATTTGAAGCAAAGTGCATGAGATATTTGTTGGCATGTACTTTTGATATTAAAATAGCAGCGGCTGATTTGCATGATCAGTCGAAGACGAGCTTTTGTAATTGTCCTGGAATTTCTTACTTACAGCTTGCAAAGTTCCCTCGCACTGTCCACCAATATGAGCATACAATGTGTTGTAATAATAGCCACGATAAACAAAGATATTGGTCCAACCTATACGACATTGACACAACAAACACGAAATTTATTTAATCAAAGTCATCCCGGATATATAGTTAGATAGCCTTTGAGGAGTCTGCCATCTCAGTTTCCAACTTCAAGTAACATTGTATAACATCATCGTGTTGTATGCACGATGCCCACGATGCCATCCCGCGCGAGATCTTCTGAGAAAAAGTTCTCGAAACGAGGTTGCTGATTGAGATGTGCATTAATATTAATAAACTCAAGTAAATGAAATAATTTTGACCATGACCTGGTTACAGCGATCTCAAAATTTGACAACTATTGTTATTCAACATGCTTCGTCGGCCTTGTTGTTTCATTTGCCAAACAAACCTATTGAGACCGACTCACAGAGTCGAAAGGCACGGCGGATTGAGCAGCACTTTCTTCATGGGAAGTTGAGGTGAAATTATTCATAGTACTTCAGAAATATGAGCCGCAGGTGCAGGGGTCTAATACTTACCACAACTCCAGCATTCATTACAGCAACAGGAAGGCCAAGAATACCAGTTCCAATACTCACTTTTAAAAGATGCATTAGACTTTGAAAAGTTCTGCAAAAAGTGGAAAACTTGATGTAGAAAAAACATTAGCAAAGTAAAAGCATGTACTGTACTTATACCATATTGTCCATATATAGTATGCTAAGACTGTCTGTACCAGTGTGTGTAATACCAATGTGAAATTGCTGTGCTGAGTAACCATATTACTACCTGCAAGAAACAAGCAGAAACTCGACGTTGCGAGCGAAAGCCGTTCGTCAAGTCAAGAGTTAGTAGCAGGGATCGTGGAAAATGCACGGGAAATGCTTTTATAAAAGCATGAAAGCATCACGTAACAAAAAATAAACCAATTAGATGGATTTAATCATAACAAAGTGTAAACAAAATATGTAAATCGCATTACAGAGTATAATATAATACAAAAATATAAAAATATACAGGAAGCTAAGACAATTATGGGCAAAAAATAATCAAAACAAAACACAAGTGACGCTTTCGGCGTCACAGAAAGGCACTCTTCCTTGCCTGTCGCCGAAATGTAAAACCTGTGATTTTGTAGATTCTAGCACTATTGTTTCGGCACCTAAATCTGAATTCGGAATCTAAATCATCAAGCACCATTTCACGTGCGCCTCCTCCCATCTCATCTACTGCATCTCTTGCAGCAGGTGTGGCATGCTTTACATTGGGGAAACTGGAAGATGTTTAAGGACAAGGTTTGGTGAGCATCGGCGTGCAGTTATTGGCAATGATGCTAACCAACCTGTTGCCAGACGTTTTAATAATGGTAATCACAATCACAGTGTTTCAGATATGGCAATTCAAGCCCTCTGTCCCATTTCTGGAAGTAACGATAGACGCACAAGACATGAAATGCGCCTCATATCCAAACTTTGCACTGTTCACTCCTCTGGTATTAATGAACGCTTTTCCTTTGTTTAATTCCATCTGTCCTTGCCTATCTATAGCAGACATTGACGGCATTTATCTATTTATTACTTTTATTTCTTACCTTATTCCCACTTCTGTTTTGTTTCGGTTATTTTTTGTAGTAATTTTCTTAGCTTCCTGTATATTTTTATATTTTTGTATTATATTATATTCTGTAATGCGATTTACATATTTTGCTTACACTTTGTTATGATTAAATCCATCTAATTGGTTTATTTTTGTCACGTGATGCTTTCATACTTTTAGTATAGAAGTCCGTACATTTTTCCCGATCCCTGCTACTAACTCTTGACGAAGGGCCTTCGTTCGAAACGTCGAGTTTCTGCTTGTTTCTTTCAGGTAGTAATATAGCCACTCAGCACAGCATATATATATAGTATGAGATATTTAAATTGTTCTTCTATTTCCTATCTTGATTTATCAAATGAATTTTTTGTGGGTTAATATAATAGACTGTTTATTGTACTTGTGTCCCAACGGCCTCATTTTCATTCCCTCGTGTTTCCTGCACAATGGGTTAAGGGTAGGCTTGTGATTCGGATCAAGATCAAAGAGAAACAAAATTTGTATGCAAAACATGGAGATATAACCATCATGTGCGCTAAAACAGGCAAACATATAAAACGAGGGCATTTGGGAAAAAGTTAAATAAACTGCAAGTACTGCATGCACCTTTTGTGGAGAGTTCAAGACTAAAGTTTAAATGTAGTGCTATGAAGCTTAGAAAAAATGTTCATTGAAATTTTAAAAACGGAAATAAAGCTTGTCAAATTGCGACGATTCAACTACCTGAAAACAACTTCAAAGTTTCGAGCGATGGCCCTTCGTAGCCTCTAACTTCAAAACGAAGGATTTTCGCTCGAAACGCCGAGGTTGTTGTTGTATTTTTCACGTAGTTAATCGGCATTTTTCGAAAGTGTGCAATATAGAGAAAACTCACGTAGTTTTATGGCACTTTTCATTGATTTCTTTGATATCGTCGATTTCTATGAGCTGTTTTTCTCCATTTCCATCTTGCATATAAAATAAGTCATCTTCTTTCTCAGTTGTATCCTCCATTTTCCTTTCCAACTCCATTTCTTCTTCTTCTACCGCAACTTCGCTCATTGTTCCCACGTCTTGCTAAACAGAGTAACATATTTCTTATCAGGATTATGCGGATGGAAATCTCGAGTGTATTTAATACATTTATAAGACTAACCAGGAGCAATTGGGAAATATGCAATTATATAGGCTCTACAGACAGAATCTGCGATTCCGGTGCACCGCTCTAACTATCTTAGTTCCAGAGTCCAGACGGGTAAACTTTGTTTAAACCGGAAACCGCAGTGTAAATATTTATAACTAGACGACCAGCCAAGCTTAAAAGGTGTCTGCAACACACTGTCGATGCCATGTTTTGTTACAAGCGTAAAACTATGCAAAATAGTTTTATTTCAATACATAGATCATCGATCTCGTTAAATATCTAAAATAAAACGCTATAATTGACAAATTTAAACTCCTTTTGAGTAACGGCACTCGTTCTCATTAATCCATCTCTATACTTTTGAAATTTACCTTCATGCATACAGGTATTTTAACAAGCACACTAATAATATACCATGTTTGAGTTATAGGAATTGAGATAACCAGAAATGTCATTGTGCACATGTTATATTAATTTAATTTAATTTAATTTAATTTAATTTAATTTAATTTAATTTAATTTTATTTAATTTAATAGCCAGCCCATTATAATACAATTGTAATGTGGGTGGGATTTCTGTGCAATACATTTTCGACTAATGTCGCATATTTGCTGGCTCTCTAAACAGCGTTAACGGCCGTTTTTCTTTCAAAAAATTATGAAGACAGATAAAGAAAGCTCACAAACACAACGGTAATGGTAGTAACATTGAAGGTAACATTTTAGCATTTAAGTTCCTATTTAGGTAAAATTCTATCACATCTCGCACCCCATGCAACTATAAAGCTGCTTCGCAAGATTCTTGAATATATATCAGTTAAATGTTTCTCAACGAAAATCTGCCATCTTTTCCCTCTCGTCGTTGCGAAGTCCCTGGCCGATAAACTTTTACTATATAAGATTTTCACGAATATAAAACAGGCTGTTAACGGTGAAGGAGACAAAAATACGACGGTTTGCGGAACGACCAACCTCCTATAATAAACTCCTCATACCTGTGATGTAACAATAAAATAACGTATGTTAGAAATATATATACCACTAAACAATATAGCTTAGTTCTTTTCCCAATCCCTGTAAATAGCTTACTTCTACCAGTTGGTATTATTTTTGCCGCCTTTTCCACCTTATCCGCTCCGCGCGTAATCCACATATCCGCTCCGTCCGCCTGCTCCGCTCCGTATCCGCTTTTCACCCTCGCTACTGCTACGTTTCATTGAGTTTGGTTTTAGCATGAAATTAGCCGCGATAAGGCTATTTTGCATTAAAACTACGACAAAGAATGTTAATTAACAAGATATTATACCCCGACTGAGAATGCATGTAGGGCATTTTCAAAGTGTTACATTGCCACCAAATATATTACTGGCAAAAAAATACGATACAGTCGATACTATACTGAACATTCATTCCCCAAAGCTATAGACAAAACCTGTTAAAAAATTACAAAATTGATGGCGAAATAATTGTGAGGTTTCAAAATGTACTCGTAATTCTTTGTATTTGACTATATGTCTTTGTTGCTACGAAATATAACTTCCGGATCCTTCACTCGGCTCGTCAATTTGGCAAAATCAGTCATTTTTTACCGTAAGAATTATACTCGGTAGCTAAGTATATTGCTTATAGCCGCTCACTAAGTGTATCTGAATTGAAAATCCAATTTTATTATCTGGTCTTATGAAACGAATCCGATCATGCCGTTGAATGTTGAATTTGATCTGAGACTTAATTGGGTCACAGATATCTAAAGCTGTAAGGATTGAATTCTATTCTGTATCCTTTTTTCTATAACTTTATTCGAACCGATATACTATTTCAAAATTTATCTCCCAGACGTGCTTGATTTCATTCAATTTGAACAATTATATCCCGCAGGATTGTCTCATCAATATGATTCATGAAACTTTGTTGAATTGCTTTCGGCATATATCCAAGCGAAGACATAATGATACAAATGATAACAGTTGATATAGAATAAAAATTTTACCTTATTTGCAATGCCGTTTCGTCCACTGTTTGTTCAATGTGCTGTACTTTAACAGAAGCCAGCAATAATTTGCATTCGATGAACAGAACAGCTTTAGGCACTTATATTGTTGATTCAGCTGCCCCGCCGAACTTACATCGTTTTCTTCGCACAAATTAGATATCCTTGCTCATGCATAGCAATACGCCCACGTTTCCGTTCTGAAATATTGCAAATTTTATGGATGAAAAAATATTTAGTCTCTGTAGTTTCCCAACGTTAACAAGATTATCCACATCTACCGGCAAATTAATTGATCGCAATACTGTTGACGATGATTATTTTTCGTCTGAACAGCAACCGTTACGTGTTAGTTGTTTCGACAATCTAACAAAATATTTTTCCTCCAGTATCAGGTAAATTAATTCATGGAAAGTTAAGTATATATATATATATATATATATATATATATATATATATATATATATATATATATATATATATATATATATATATATATATATATATATATATATATATATTTATATATATTTATATATATATATATATATTTATATATATATATATATATATATTATTATTATTATTAAAATTTCCAAACTAGCAGTAACAACTGAATTACTTTGGAATTACAGGGTATAAGAACATAGGTATTTAATCTATTCTATATTTACAGGTAAAAATAGGTAAGTTAGATAAAAATAACGTTAGTAATCTAAAGTTTACTTATTATTATAAGCACGAGACGCAGCAGGAATGAAACTGTTCGAAAAACGTTCAGTTCTACACCTAGGTACTAATAAGTTGGGATAAGACGTCAGATTATAAGTTTGAAGACTTTTAGGCGGTACTAAGGCATTCAGTTTATGAGTGGGTTCCAACATCTTCGAAAAAAGTCGCTTGCAATGGACAGTTCTACGTTCGTAAAGAGTCATCAAGTTAGCTTTAAGCAAACATTCAGCATAGATAGTTCCAGGGAAAATAATTTTTAATGCCCTTTTTTGTATTTTTTCAACTTGATCACTCAGGTAATGAGGAAGGCCATAATGCCACACCTGACAAGCATATTCGACAATTGGTCGAATATGTGTACAATAGCTTGAGATCAGAATATGAGAAGGTAAAGCATTTCTTTTAAGAAGGCGCAGACCGTACAAACGCTTCGCGGCTTTCTTGCAAATGTAGTCAATATGGCAGTTCCATTTGAGGTCGTCCGAAAGGACAACGCCCAATAGTTTGGCCTCGGAAACGACGTCGACCTCTTGACCGCGAATGG